CTTACTTCCTTGCGTACGGATGACAGCTACGTATGACTTAATTTATTTTCTGGTGCTTTCACTTCAAGAGACAGTTGTAAGCACTGTGTAACTGCCTCGAGGAAGCTTGACCATTTTAACACAACGTGGTGCGATCATCCCCCGTTGCGCGGAGTGAGGTTTCTCGACCCCGCACAACATGATCTACTCGACCACCATTATGGTTACCGCAAAAAAAAAAAAACGAGGTAAAAAAAAAAACGGTAACCTGGTGTTTGGGTGCGGTAGCTCGTCAGAGGCCGAAAGAGAAAGAAGGTTGACTCAAGACCTTGGTTGATTAGAGAGTGGCATGCACGGCGGAGGCACGAGGGGCCCCGCACGTATCATGTCCATCATACACAAACATCATCCACGTAACCCCCGGAGGCCCCGTAGATCAGTATCCTGCTGAGCACCCCAAACAGCCCCCCTGCTCTGTACGAGATACGATCTACGACACCTACCTCACGAACTGCCAGGTAAAACGGCAGATAAATCATCGACCATTCCACTTCAAACAACTCTGTCAGCATAACAATGCCGTACAAAGCTTTCAAAGTCTTGTGATATCAAATTACTATCCCCTAAAAGGTCTGTCAATAAACAATTCACCCTCTTGAGAAAAATGCTTTACCAATTTCTCAAGCAGCCAAGACACAAACAGTCACCCTTGGAAGAATACCCAGCAAAGATACACATTACATCAGAATCACGTCAGAAAGGGGACGGTCCAACGTCCTGACTTAACTCAGAACAAATTCCTCAGATAAGTATTCATGTTTCAACTCATTGACCAGCTCAAATAACCTTCGGAAGCACAAAGAAAGGCTTCAACCATGACTTACGAGAACATGCCAAATCCTTCCTCCAACACCCAATACCTTGACAAATATACCAGTCCCACAGCCCCCCTGCTGTAACATCCATCCCAAACACGAAGGAACCAAACAAACAAATCCAAAAATAATAAAACACCTGCGACTAGTATCATGGAACAATACCAATATCCCCCCCCCATGATTCTTGTGCAGAACTACCTCATACATCGTACGTACCAGAGAGCAGAAACATAACAACAGCAAATCAACGCCCAGTATAAATTCACAAATAAAACACATCACGTAGGAAAAGGCCCCCCCGCTGAAAACACAAAGAACAAAATCAACGAATATTCATCA